CATGTTGGCATCCATCTCTCTCTGTGCCTTGGGCCTTCCACCACGTGGGGAGTCTTTTCAGTTTGCTTCACACTGGGCCTGACCTAAAATGGTTTGTCTTTGAACTTTGCAACTTGACAAGCAGAATGTGAGACCTGAGGGAAACGTTTAAGCAAGGGCTTCGGGCCAGGTTTATAAATCCATTTGACACAGACCTTGGACCCCAAAGGTAAGAACATTTGTAGAGCAGACAACAAGGCAACCATGAGCCTTATGTGATGTCCTCTCCAGCCAACATTCCCTCAGCACCAGCGGGAAGGGCAGACGATTCACCCTCTAGCCATCCAGGCCTTCTGAGAGAGAAATCTAAGCGAGCAAGCCCTCAAAGGCGTGGGTTAGGGAAGGATTGGCTGGGCACAGCTCAGGCTCTGCTTGCCAAGTGTCTCAATGCCCAAAGGTCTGTTGACCCAGGTTCTAAACACACCCCGTCTGGAAAGTTGCAGTGCCCAGGAGTGAGGAGGAAAAACCAGGAGGGTTGGGTATGGGCTTCCTGCCTCTCACATACTCACAAACTTCTGCTGCTATTTTCTTTAAGTTTCTCAAAGAAGGACCAAAGTTTTGTCAAAGATGGCCCAGATGAAGAGGACCTTCCGAGGCCGGGAAACTGGGATTATCCAACTCTTGAGGGAGTTTCTTGAAGGACTTTTCCACCAAATTCTGGTAGTATCAAAACAGACCCGTGACGACCCCTCGAGTATTGAAGGCTTAAACAAGATTCTGCGCTACCCCCCCCGTGGGGGGGGATGTCAAATAAGTGGAGCAGTTATGATTGGAAGGAACCTCTTTGTTATTCAAACATACACCCACTGGAGTCCTCCTCAGCAGATGGAGAGCCTGGGCCTCTGAGCCTGCTGGCTGGAAGGTCGCTTCCCTACAGGGCCAGTGAGGTGGTACAGAGTGAGGGAGAAAGGACGGTAGCTAGGGCAGGAAATCACTCTTTTAGTAGTTCTTATAGACAGAAACTTGGGGAGTCTTGTTCAGCAAAGTTAACAGCCTCCGGGGCCTCAGAAGCCGATGATTCGCTGACTGAAAGAGGGCTGGACTCTGGGCTGAACCAAAGGGAGGTACTAGCTGCCTGCTCTCTCCCTGGCTCCCACAGGAAAGCCTCACAAAGAAGAGGTACAACGGACGGCTAACTTAATGCCTCCACGAGAGGCGGGTTTTGTTCTCTGTCGGGTCCCTGAAGGAGGCTTTGGTCTGAAATCCAGAAGGCAGAATATGTACTTGATGGCCCGATTTCTTACCTCCTCACCCGTGGCCAGAGCTGCCCTCCAGGGCCATCCAAAGCAACTTCCCACCCCGTGGCTAACTCAACTGGGCCTAGGCATTCCACTCGAGGATGGATCCTGAGGTTTCCTGGGATGCAAGGGAAACGTTCCCTCTTCCTCCACCCCCACCTCCATCTTGCAGCAGGGCGAGCCTGTCATCCCACTGGAACCCATATCTGATTGCCTGGACAGAACAACCAGGAATACCCAAATAACAACCACCCCATAAACCAGGCTCAACGACCTGGTCTCTTTCCTTCAGATCTGAAGTTCTTCAGCTCTAACGGAGATCCACAGCCATCCTAACACCACCACCACCACCACCCGCCCCAAAAGCTTTGGAGAAAAAAAGAAGGGCTGGCCAAGGCCAGAACTAAACCACCCTTGCCCTTCAGCAAAAGAAGACCTCCCAAGACCAACACCCCCAGGCACCCCCAGGAGAGGCCGGGATATCCCTCCTTTCTGGCATAGCCCCCTGCTGTGGCTAAGAGCTTCTGTTCAGAGGACCAGAAAGGAAGCCGCTGGCACAATGGGCTTCTGGCAGACCTGATCGCTTTGGGGCAATGTTCCTCTGCCCCAGAGCACCCGTCTTGAGACAAGCTAGGGTGAGGATTCCCTTCCTTTGCCATCTTCCCGCACCAGCTCCTGCCGCGAGTGGCGAAGCGAGAGCAGAGGCCTGAGGACCCCGGCGCCATCGCTGGCCGGGCTCCCCTCCCCCACTCCTCTTTCTTTGCTTCGCGGAGACCCTGGAGGGAGGAGGCGGCCGGCGCCTCGGCGGATAGAGCCGCTATTGTGACCTTCCGAGGCTGAGCGGGAACCCAGCGGAGTGCGCGCCGCCCGCGGTGGCGGGGGAGGAGGCGGCTGTGTGCAAAGCTCGGGCGCGGAGGGGGTGGCACCGGGAAATAAATAAAGGCTGGCAAGCCCGGGCCGCTGGGCCCTTCGGAGGGCGCTCGCCCGGGTTTAGACGTGGGTGCTTCCTCACGCTAATTGCAGGCTCAAGAGAAGCGGAATTTATGGCGAAGGCCAGGGCGGCTTGTTTATAATTTATGAAGTTTTAAATGGTTGTGCCGCGGGCCCAGCTCTGCCGGCCGGGCGGCCGCGTGGGAGCGCGCCCTCCCACCACCCGCCGCCGCCCCCACCCACGCTAGGAGCGAGGGTGCCCGTCACGTGACCCACGGGAGGGGCAGGGAAGAAACAAGCGGTTCTCTGAAGTCTCCAGAACACCGGGAGCCCGGAGGAGGCGGCAGGTCTGGTCCTAGCGGGCCCCCTCCCCTCCCCCAACACGCCACAGCCGGGCCTGGGAGGCGGCGGGGGCCTGGAGTGGGAGCCCCCGGCCTGACACTTCCTGAGAGCCTATGTGCGAGAGGAAGCTGATGTCAGCCGGGCTAGACGCTGTTTAAAGTCTAATCCATGAAGCCCGAGCCACAGATGACACTTGGGGTTTTGCAGACACCCGCAGACTCAGCAGATCCTCCTGCGGTAACACACCGCGCTGGGAACCGCCTGCAGCCATGATGCATTATGTATTTTTATTATTATTTATGGTATGAAGAGGAGATGAGAGAAGCCGGATTGAATCTAAACAGCCTGACAATTCATCTATTTAATATTTAGCCAGTTAAGAAAGGTGGCTGCGGTCCCCACAAGGCAGCTAGCTCCTCTTCGATTTCCTCACCAGCTTAAAAAATAATTTCTTACAATTATAAATTCTGCCTATGAATGCAAGTTTCCGAGAAAACAACGTTAAGCCTTGAAAGTGGGTAAAATATGCCTTCAATTGAAGTCATTTATTCTGTTGATACGATTCTACAACATATATACTTTATACTTGCTCAGATAGAGTGGAATTTAGCAAAGGGCTACCCCCAACCCCCAGCCTAACATGCCATTTTAAAAACAGCACAAAGGAACAAGGAAACTAAATATTATTTTGAGCCATCATTACTGAGCGAAACACAAACAGCCAAGCAGAAAGCGGCTGTTGCCCCACCAGAGCAGTTCTTTCCACACAATAGGAATTCACCTCGTGCCACCAGGCTGGCGGTGGGAGTTGCACAGTTGCCAAACCAAATAGAAATGCGTGGGTGGACTTTGTTGAAATACAAAATAATTGAACCTTGTCTGAAGGCCTTTTTAAAACCAAGCGGCCCCTTCTACAGAAGTGGGTGTAAGTGCCCGACCCTGGCTAGAACCACACTAATATTTACAGAACGATTATAAATTTTGTAGACTTTTTGCCCGTTTTGCACAAAGAAACAGGAGTAAACAAGGTGTTTGTTTATAAGTGTCATGTTCCATTAATGAAGCTTTTATCATTTTACATTATGGAGGACGTTTGTTTTCTTCAGAAAGGAACTACTCACCATTACAATTACAATAGAAAAAAAAATTCTTGAGCACTTCCTAGAAAAAAACAAAAACAAAAACCCTCGGTGATCCTGTCCGTGATCGGTTCTTTTTCCATCACCTTAGCATTTCCTAGCTTAATTCTTCCTGTTTGTCTTATGCTTTTTTTTTTTCTTTTTGATTGTCAGGGTTTTTTCCCAAAGTTTATTTTTTATTATTTAATGCAGAAAAAGAAAAACGAACCGTCCCCCCACGTGACGACCATGTATAGAAAGAAGTGGTAGAAAGAGCCATGCAGGTGCGGCTTTGGCAAAGCCCTGTTGCAACCAGCCCGCTTAGGCTATTTCGAGGTTGGCGTCCTCTCCTCACTAGCTTCAGTGTAATCAAGTATTTATTTCTCCACGCCAATAGGTTCCGAATAAATAAAATACTTTTTCAGAGTGTTCTTTTTTTAAAAAAAAATTTTTTTTTTCTTGGTCTTACAGCGGGATAAAGGCCGAGTGACCTGCCTGCAAATACGTGTGATTAACACAGATACACTTCCAACTGAGAAAAAAAAATTTTATTCTAAATGTTTGTTCAAATAGTACCAGACAATTTGAAATCAGGAAGCTGTGTCGAGTGGGGAGGGCTTGGCTGTTGAGAAGCGACGAGCGTGGGCCGCGCGCTGCCACCGGGCGGCCTGACTACCCAGGAAGGACCATTTGTGATCCCAGTCCTTGACATCAACTACAAACACCAGCCACGGTTACAACTCTTCAACACTACCTTCTCGACTAGTTCAGACCCAGGGGACTAAAGAGATGAAACGTGGCCCCCAAGGCCTGGCAGCGCGTACCTAGGCCCGGCTGGAGAATCCTACAAATATACACATAAATACATTAAGACGAGGATAAATAAGCAGGGAAACGAAATTACTCGCTTCAAATAATAAATACAGATCGTTTAGTCCGATGAAATCTTTACAGGTGGGGGAAGGAGCATCATAAATTAAGGTCTCTGAAACTAAGCTAGACGAAGGGGCCGGGCCCGGCATTCTCCGGGCTCTAGTCCCTCTCCAGGACACGCCAAGGGTGGGTCTCGGACTTACCTTAGGGACACCATTACCAGATTAGAGTCCCTCGGCCCGCAGCGTAGGGCGCTGGCAGGTTCTCGGGGGGAGGATCCTTGCGGCTGATTTATGGAGCCTTAGCCTCGGCCGCTGGAGGCCCCAGATTCGTGAGGCTTCTGGCCAGGCCAGATCGGGGAGGGGTCCCCCTCCCCGAGCTGCCCCTCGGGCCCCGCCCCGCCCCCACCACCCCCGCCACTAAAACCAGAGAGGTGATTGCGCCAGGCCGGTGGCATCCGCTACAGATGTGTCAGTTTGGGGGCCTCGGGCAGGCGTCCCTGAGAGGAGTGGTGAGCCGAGAGATCTGTGTAGGTGGGGTGAGGGTCGCAGGGTCCGTGGTGATGGTTGCCAGGGATCTGCGCGGCGCAGCTGTAGTCCACGCTGGCCGAAGACGGGTGCGAGAGGTGGCCCAGGTTGAAGACCGGCCCGGACGCGGGCGCCATGGAGTCGACGAAGTTGCCGCCCACGTACACCGGGCTGCCCTGCAGGTTGGCGCTGGCGAAGCCGCCGCCGTTGCTCGCCATGGGGTGCGGCTCGAACTCGGGCGCGGCGTAGCGCTTCTGCTGCGGCAGGCAGCTGCTGAGCGGCGCCGTGTAGGCGGCCAGGCCGTACATGTTGGGCTGCGATTTGGCGAAAGCGGGAGGCGAGGGTGCGTCGTAGGCCAGGCCGGGCACCGGCGGCAGCTGGCCGGAGTAGGCCACGTGGCCCGCCGCCCCTCCGAGAGGAGGGCTGCGCTCCGGGGACTGGCCCGCGGGAGAATGCAGGATGCCCTTGGCCTTCTGGTCCTTCTTGTACTTCATGCGGCGGTTCTGGAACCAGATCTTGATCTGGCGCTCGGTGAGGTTCAGCAGGTTGGCCATCTCCACGCGGCGCGGCCGGCACAGGTAGCGGTTGAAGTGGAACTCCTTCTCCAGCTCCACCAGCTGCGCGCTCGTGTACGCAGTGCGCACTCTCTTGGACGCCGGGCCCGGGGGGCTCTTATCCTCGCAGCTCTCTCCTGGGCAAGGAGGGAGACAGAGAGGGTGCTGAGCCAGGAGTGGGAACCCTCGGCACGGAAAGCGGTGCTTCTCAGCCTCCACCTCCCTCCCCCCCCCCCCGCTCCCCTCGGTCCCCTGTCTAGGGTAGGGTGAGGGGGGGTTGGAGAGGTCACAGTCTGAGGGAGCACCCAATCGACACACCTGTAGGCCCGACTGTCAATCGCACCTGTAACGTCCGCTTTCCCTTGCCCTTTCTTTCTTCCCCTCCATCCTAGCCCATCCTTTAGTCTCAACCCGGAGGCCATGTGAGGCTCCCCACCAAAAAAGCCAGACTTCTTTGAGCGCCCCTCCCAACCTCTGCAGGCTGGGAGCTGGGGGATCAGAAGGGATGGGTGGCAGCTCCAGTTTGCCTTGTTTGTTTACAGGTCAAACACTCCAAAGAAGTGGGTAGAGGGCCTGGCACTTTGCTCCAGCCAGGTGCACCCAAAGTCAGGGAGGTAAACACACACACACACACACACACACACACACACACACACACTCCTGCCCTTGAGTTTTGGGGGATCCCAAGGCCAGGAAAAAAGCATGCTGCATGTGGCATTGGTAAGAGCAGCAGCCTCAGCACTGGCGTGGCCTCCCCTGCCACTCCTCAGCTGCTTGTCCACTCTTTCACTGGGAAGACAAATGGATTTCTCCTGGGAGGGAGGGCCTGTGTCTGAGCTAAGGAGGGAGGGGCAGAAGAGTAGCTTTCAGGCAGGAAGACACTTTTTTCTAGGATCAACAGCCCAGGGAGCATCAGGCAACAGGACCTAGACCTGGTAGCAAATCATATCCCAGGCCTCAGCCTAGCCCTGGTCCTGGGAAATAAACCCCATGAAGAACACAAGGCCAGGAAATTTCAAAAAGCAGCAGTGTGAGCAGTGACAAGGCGCCTGCCCCTCGCTGTGCCCAGGTTCTTTCATACTTGAGAGGACCAAGAGAAGTCTTTCTCGGCTCTAGGGTCTCCCTTTCAAGAGTCAGAAAACAAAAGCTGCTCTTGTTCCAAACTATTCTCTTCCCCCTAGAAAATGTTCTTCTCTGTTATAGATTCACTAGAGTGGGCTGAGTCTCACAGGTAGGCCTTGAAGGCCCAGAAGTCTTACTCATTAGATCCAAGTCCACCACTGTGCAGTTGTGTGGACACGTGGAAAATGAGGATATTACCACACATCTATTTTAAAGTTCTCTGGGAAAATAAATAAAGCAAATGGATAATGTTTATAACATCTTTAAGCATGGTTCTTTTTCTTTGGCTTTTGGATGGTGTTTGCTTTGACTTGGGTTTCTGTCCTGAGACTAGGTCTCTTAATGGTGTCCAGAAACTCACTATACTTTCCTCCAGGCTCTCCTTTTGACATCAAGATCCTCCTGCCTCAGCCTCAAGTGGTGGGGTCACAGGTGAACACAGCTACACCTGGCCTATCTTCACCTTTGAAGGGCTGTTGGGTACAAGAGGAAGATGAGTCATGACCAGCAGCCCGGGAAGGCAGATAATAGTCAGTGTAAAGAAAAACCTGCCGTTAATAAGCGTGAGACTGGTCCAGCAATGGCACCAGTAATGAAAGAGTGTCTTATCTCCTGCAAGGTGAGTATTCAATCAGAGTCACTAAAAAGGACAGGCATTTCTACACAAGGGGAGGAGGGATATATCGCTGCTATGGTTGCCCTGGCTCCTGGGCAGTAAGTATGCTCTCAGGGGCCCATGGAGGGAGTGGAGCAGGGATGATCCACGCAGAGAGCTACCTGAAGTGGCACAGCTGTTCTTCTGCTTGGAGTTCTGTCGGGATTCTTTCATCCAGGGGAAGATCTGCTTGCTGATGGTGGCTGAAGAGCTAGAGGCATTGGGCCCACCCTTGGTCTTCTTGGCAGGCACTCCACCTCCAGGATTGGTGGGTGAAGATGGGGGCAAGGTAGGTGGTGGAGGAGGAGGTTGTGGTGGCTGCTGCTCTGAGTTCAGACCAGGAGGCTGGTTGCCACCACCCCCACCCTGGCTGTTCCCAGTTCCAGGCCTCATGCAGCTACCATTGAGTTCGGCTCCTTTATGGGCTGGGGCTCGGAGAGGTGTGGAGCTCTGGATGGAGCAGGCAGAACCTGGGTAGTCACTGTCCAGGGAGTTGGCAGCAGCAGGGGGTGGGTAGGGCTGATGAGGAGTGCTGTAGCCATAAGCATCGGTGGCTTTGCTGTATGCATAGCCTCCAAAGAGTCCTGGGTTCTCATAGTATGCAGCCTTCTGCATGGTGCACTGAGGAAGCTCCAGGGCCTGCTCACCCTGCTCAAATAACATTGACCACCACTGTCTCCTTCAAGGCCAGCGTCTGCTGAATCTTGAGAGAGCTGGGCCAGCTCCCAGGCTCCAGGTGACCTGTCAAGAAGAAACGCAAGAGATCCTAGAGGGACTGTCGTTGGTTGGCAAGATCAATCAATACAGAAGTGCTAGAGCAGGCAGGCCCTTGGCTCCCCACTCATCTCAAAGTGGAAGGGTGGGCAAGGTTCTGGATTGGGGGTTTTATGAGACCCTATGTTATATGAACTATTGAAGGAGTTGGAGAATTTCTCCTAAATGTAAGAAAAGACCTTTCCTTCTCCTGAGTTCAGCTTTAATCTCAGGAAGCCATTCCTTCCATCTCAAGATTCTCTTGGAGATTTTTCTTTTTGCCAACATAGCCAACATAGCTATGATTGCCAACATAGCTTTTGAGCCTATAAGGGGAAACAGTTACGACAGGCTGATTCTCCCTTTAAACTATGAGCTCCTCAAGGAGAGGGCTTGTGTTTTATCCATCTGCATATTACTAATATGTTCTGCATGGAATGAGTCAGTCTTCGGATAGCCCTGGGGGGGGGGGGTTTGCTTGGTGCTGGAAATCAACCCCAGGGTTTTGTGAATGCTGTGTGGGAAGTCTTGTCCCTAAACCTTAATCTCAGCATTATGGTTGGACAAAAGAAAAATCCTGTTGCACATCCCAGAGTCTCCAGAGCTTCCCTCCAAAAGTATCTTTCCCGCCTGGTTTCCAATTTACACCATCTCTTTTGAAGACCCAGACGGTCCACTTGGGAGGCAGAGTGAGAATCCACACAGCTAGTTTTGTGGGACAGTACTATGAAACCTACAGTGTAGAGAACTAGGAAAGACAAAACAAAAGGAAGACTTAAAGACTCCCAGGCTCACTTTGAAGCTAAAAAATGTTTCTTTCATCTACACTTTCCCACAACCCTTAATTTGTCCTTCTACTTTCAAAAGGATGTCCCTGAAGATGGGTGAAAGGATTTAGATTTGGAAATGCAGGTAGTGTGTCTGAACGGTGAGTGCTGTTATAACTTCATCACTTTCCTTTGGATCTTTACATACATAGATGTTAGTATTGACCTCTGCTCCGGACCTTCTTTCTGCCCCACCTCCCACCCAACCTACAGCCAATGAGAGACGTTCCCATGACATGATGAATGGACCCAGAATTAGAAGGATGGGGGACTAAAAAACAAAAAATTCTTCCCCTTTTGTATGCCCTGACTCTTCATGGGGTGGGGTGGGGGGGGCTTGTCCCATCCCTTCTGAAAGGCTCCTGAGGAGTTAAAGTATAACTAATATCATTCAATCACTTTTGTCTGGTTGATAAAGAAAACTCACAGGTCAGCTCTCTGGCCTTCATTCTTGATCTCATCTCTCAGGCAAAGTTTCTTTTCAGAAATTCTCCCTAGCTTCCATCATCATGAGAGACCCACCAAGCAACTTATGACCAATCGGATTTACACACAAGGACCAAAACACTTTTGCATTAATATCTCCCCCCCCCTCATGTTTTTATCAGAAAGCCCAGCCAATTAAGAAAACTCTCCAGATTAGCTTTTGTTCGGTAGTCCTGTGGCCCATTTTGTTTTAGGATGTAAGTGAATATGCCATTTATCTTGATGAGAGACGGGCTCTTCTCAGCGGGTTGCCGTGAGGCTGGGATGTTTTGTTGTGGGCATTGTTTCTCTTAGTGCCCACAAACGTGCGCAGCTAAGATACCCACCTAACAAAGCTAGACCCATTCTTCTGATTAGTCAATACCGATCTCTGGCTACTCAAGTTACCAAATAGCAAATGGGCAGTTAAATCCTCATTCTGTGAGTTTGCCCCAGGCCAAAGAACCTGCCACGCTGGCTTGCAAAGTTGTAGGGCTTTTCAGGGATCCTGATGTCTAACTGGTCACATCAGGCTTCTGAGATCACCAGAATGTGCTGCTGCTTTGTCATTCCATTGACAACTGTGGAAGTAAAACATCCCCTCCTGCCTCCGGGTTGATCAAGTTTGTCTTGGAAGGTGGACCCCCTAACATGAAAATAGCTCCCGAGGAACCAAGCAAGCCTACGGCACAGATGACTTTGCATATTATTTTTGCTCCTGTGCCACGTTCCTAGAAAACTCTGTGTAAAGACCTCAAAGGTACAGATAGCGTTCCCAGCCAAGAGTCATGTCTTGCCTGTTGGAGTTGCCTTAAGGGATCTCCAGGCCCACTTCATAGCCTAACGTCCATTTCTCTACAGGCAAAGGTAGCAACCGTGCTGTTCTTGGACACACACACAACCTTTGCAGCACCCGTACAGGGCCTAAAGAAGCCCCTCTTCTAAAGCACGACCTGCAAATATCGCCACAAAACTGAGGGGAAAGTTTGTTTCTTTCCAAGAAACCCCTGCTCCCTGTGAACTCTGCTCGACCCTAAAAAGCAGGACTAGGTCATAAATCATTTGGACAATGGTCAACTGTTCAGTGGCTCATCTTTTCGATCACCCCCCCCCCCTTAAGGCTTTCTTTTCTCACCCTTTGCTACCTTTGCTCATTTGAGCACCAAGACCCAAATGCCTTGGGGGGGCTTTAGGGGGAGGGGCAGCTGAACAGGACTTCTAATTTTCTAATTTTGTAGCACTACTGTTTCCCTCTCTTCCTCCTCCTGATCCTTCCTCTTCCTCCTCCCGTCCACACGCACCCTCACCCCAGCCCACAGTCCCCCATCACCCCTATTCCACTTAGGGAAGGGGTCGCCTAATGAGACTGGCTAGTCCTTTTCCAAAGTCCCTGGAAGTTACCCAACTCTTCTTGGAGGCCTAACCGCAGGCCCAGAAGACAGGGCCAAGTGGTTTCCAGCCGGAAGGAAGACCCGGCACCCTCTCAGAGCTCGCAGCCCCTGTTCTCCAGCCACGCCGGCCCGCCCAGCCGGCCGAGCCTCAGAAGCAACGGAGCCCTGATAGTCGCTCACCGCACTTAATTCTGCCCAGATCAATACCTAATATGATACCGAATAAATAAAAGGCGCTCACAGCGGCCAGGGGACAGGGTTATTAAGCAGCTGGAGCTCTCACGGTGCATATCAATGCACCTGTCATTGTGGTTTGTAACAAAATTTATGACTGCGACCGCGGCAGCAGTAAACGCTTCAGTAAGGAATGAAAAGAAAAACACTTCCCAAGGCCCGACACTTTTCAGAAGTGGAAGGCAGGCTCCGCGTAGGAGGCAGCGCGGCAAAAGAATCCCCTACTCCGCACTTTTCCCGTTCGGGATTCTATAAAGTGGCCGGCGCCGGCCGGGGCCAGCCGCTGTGCTGGCCGCCCGCGCTGGGAAGAGGGGATCGCAGGCCCGGCCGAGGACCACAGACCCGCGGCCCTCCGGCTGGAGGCTGGGTGGCGGCGCCGAGGTGCTGGGCGGCCGCGGGAGAGGCGGGCTCGGGCTGGGAGGGCCGCGCGGAGGCCGGCGGCGGGTAGCGCTGCCGCGGTAGGGCCCAGCCGACCGCCACCGTCCGTCGGGGCCAGCCGTGAGCAGGGGGTGTCCGTTTCGCTTAGAATCCGCTTCCTGCTTTGCCCGAGCCGGGTCCTCGGCTAACCCACGGATCTCGTCCTGGAGGCCGCCGCTCTTCCTGGGCATTCTTCTTAAATCGGTGGGACGGGCGGAGCGGTGACACTCCTGGCCCTGCTGGCGTTCGCTACTGCGGGTTTGGGAAACCAGTCCTCGGAGGGGTTTGCTGAGAAGGGAACTGACCGTTCGCTCACGCTCCCCCGACCCCTCAACCTGAGCCTCTTGTGCCCTTTGGGAAGCCTAGGAGGCCCCTTCTAAATCACTCTGGTTGAGCCCGGATAGCTCAGTCCTGTGACGCAGCCCGCGTTTAAGGTAGCGGGCGCACTCTATTAAAGCGCCATAAATTTGAAGGCCGATGATCGCTCCTCAGGTAACAGGCGGCGGCTCACACTGAGGTGATCCGCTTCAAAGCCGCCCTTTGTTTTATGTTTTGACGTAGGAATCCTGGGACGGCTAGCTGGAGTTGGAAGAGGGCTGGGGACTTGAAAATGCAGCGGAATTTGTGTTTATTTATGTTTTTATTTATTCAAATCACCCCCCCTCACCACAGTTTTGGTATGTGTGTATTTTTTTGAATTTTATCTCTAACTCTTTTTTTTTTTTTTTTTTTTTTTGTAGGCTCTTCGGTCTCTTTCATATTCTGTGGAAGCAGAAGCAGATCTGGAACAAAATGGAAAGCTCAGTACCAGCCGGTTCTGTCTCACAAACATACCCGGAGAGCCTTTACCCCCTTTAAGGGTGTCATAATCAATGTGACTATTGTCTGTGGTGCCTGCAAGCCATTCCAGACGCTTTGGCCCCAGCAGAATGAAGACCCAGTTGGATCCAGGAGACCTGGAGGGCAAAAATCCTTGGCTGGGTGGGGGAGGGGAGAGAGAACCCGGCTGTGAGGATAGGGCTAACGGGGTGAGCCAAGTGGGTCAGCCTGCTCGGAGAACCCAGTGAAGGAAGGTGGGGAGAAGCGTACAGGTTAGAGAAACGGGAAAGGAGGGTAGGTAGGTAGGTAGGCGCACCTGGGTGGATGTTTTGGGAGCTGCCCCCCTCAGGGCCGGCATGAGCCAGAGCCAGGCTCTTGCTGTATCCTGGTTCTCACATTCTGTGTCTGGCCCAGCTACCTTTCCTGGGTGTGTTAGAGGCTAGCCACGCCATCGTGGGCCTGGGCTGCTCACTCCTGGATCGATGGGGACAGGGCAATAAACCGCCTAAGAAACCTACAGCCTTCCCTACCTCCGCCCCCAAATTACCCAGCCAGGCCACTCACCACTGCGGCTGCTCAGCGGGAGCTGGCCCCTGGTCAGGTGAAAGAAGGGAGATGCAGCCCCTCTCTTGCATCTGACCTGTGCAATTTGTCGACTCAGTCGTTTGCAAACACTAAACTGCGCCCGGGAAAACCCCACACAAAGCGTCCAGGGCGCTTCTAAAGACTAGAGAGCACAGCCGTAAGCCTTTGAAGT